TCGTGTTCTGCTGTACCAGGGATAAACACAGCTCTGTAATGTGGTTGTAAGGCTGCAGCCAGGTAAACACAGTGACAATAATGAGGTGACCTGGAACATGGGGCCTATTGCTCCATTTGCTGCCAGGATCTTGGCAGGCAGTGCCAGATCTATGGGGGAAACTGGATGTCTCTGCACTGTCTGTAATGCCCAGTCCCTCGGAGACTGCACTTACTGGGGGCTGGTTTGTAGATGGCCGGACTGCTCTTGGCCTGTGCTCTTTCCCATTTTGGTGCCAGTTTCCACAGACTTGGGCTTTTCTTAGAAAGCCCATCTGCTGCTTTGAAGCATTGGAGTTCCAGCTTGGTGACTCTCATGTTCGGGGATTTAGCTAGACCCATTCAGCAATGGAAATCATTTTGGCTGCAAGGTGGGTTGGCTGTTGGAGCTCAGAGTTCCCATGGTTAGTACCTGGCACACTGCTGAAGCAGTGCTTCTCTCTGGGGTGGTAGAAGCTGAGGGCATGGGGAGAGGGGTCATGATGAACTGATGGGATGAGGGGAGAAGAGGGCAGTTGTTTGCTTCATCATCTTCCTCTTCCAATGCAGCAAGAGGTGGAGAACTTCAAGAAGGTGAACATGATCAGCAGGGAGCAGTTTGACACCTTGACCCCAGAGCCCCCTGTGGATCCAAACCAGGAAGTCCCTCCTGGTCCCCCGAGGTTCCAGCAAGGTAAGAGACAGGTGGGACTGAAGTTGTCCCTGTTCCTCCTGATAAGAGGCCCTCAGAGGTTGGGTACCAGCTGGGGAGAAGGAATTGTGGCCACAGGCATGTGGGATTATCTTTCCCAGAGCAGTGCTTTTCCCCCAGCTGGATGTTTTGGGGCTGCAGAAGAGGAGGCCCAAAAGCAGGGGTGTCCCAGTTGAGTGAGGAAACCTTGGCAGACTTCGTGGCTCCCTGGTTGTGACTTTCCTCTTGCACTCTTCTCTGAGTAGCTGGAAGGCAGCTGCCTGCTGGGTTGTCTTTGCCTGTGTCTGGCACTTGGTGCCATGTCCTTCTCTTGGGAATGGGGGATTTGTTGCTGCTCTTAGCCACTGGGAAGCAGATATGTTGTGGGATCCCTGGAAGCTCAGTCCTTGGATCTGCTGCGAGGCTCTGGGCTGTCTAGCCAAGCTGGTGACATGCTGGATTTGAAGCTGCTTGTCTCAGAGGGCTGGGATGTGTCTCTGTATTCCTGCCCCTGCTGCTTCCCAGCTGCCAAATGGATGTCCCTTGGCTGTAGGGATGCTCTTACGCTCAGAGCTGAGCTTGACCCGTGGTGGGGGGTGTCTCTCTGCAGTACCTACAGACGCTTTGGCTAACAAGTTGTTTGGAGTCCCTGAACCTTCAACCATCGCCCGGTCTTTGCCTACGACTGTACCGGAATCACCCAACTACCGCAACACCAGGACCCCCCGGACCCCTCGCACGCCTCAGCTGAAGGACCCAACACAGACGCCCCGGTTCTACCCAGTGGTGAAAGAGGGCAGGACGATAGATGCCAAGGTGGGACCGGGGCTGGGGTGTGGGATGGGAGAGGGGGTTTCCCAGCTGGGGCCTGGGGCACGTCCCTGATGCACCATGTCTTGCAGACTCCACGGAAGAGGAAGACGAGGCACAGTTCGAACCCTCCGATGGAGTGCCACGTGGGCTGGGTGATGGACTCTCGGGAGCACAGGCCACGAACTGCCTCCATCAGGTACCAGAGATGGGCGTTAGGTGGTCATGGAGGAGCTACAAATGGGAAAGGGAGTGAGTATGGGAATGAAGGAGAAAAGCAGCATCTGTCTCAGAATCATAGAATCAGCTCGGTTGGGAAAGACCTTGGAGATCTAGTCCAGCCTTTACCCCAGCACTGCCAAGTCCACCACTAAACCATGTCACTAAGGGAAAGTTCCTGGTCTTGCCCAGGAAGTCTCCTGTTCAGTGACTGTAGAAAGGATTGGGACCCAACTTGTCCCTCCTGGAAGGAGGGAAGTTTAAAGCGTTGGAATAAAAACCAAGATGAGACTTTTGGAAACTTTAGTTCCCTTCTTAGCAGGATGGCCCAGGTCCCAAACCCAGAATAGGCAGTCACAGGGATTCGGTGGGACCAACTGGCAAGTGCTGTGGGGTGGAGCGTGACCCCACTCCTCTGTCAGTTGGGTGATGCCAAGGAAGGGTGTTGATGGGAGTCTCTCGTGCTCAGCTCCAGCCCCTCGGAGGGGACCCCGGCCGTCGGAAGCTACGGCTGCCCCCCGCAGTCCCTCCGGCCGGCGGAAGCTACGGCTGCCCCCCGCAGTCCCTGCCCAAGTTCCAGCATCCTTCGCACGAGCTGCTCAAGGAGAATGGCTTCACACAACACGTCTACCACAAGTACCGTCGGCGCTGCCTTAACGGTAGGGACACCGGGGTGTGGGGCAGGGTGTCCGTGCTCCAGGCACGTGGACGTAACCTTGCTGGTAGCTGGTGTTACACCACAGTTTGTGGTGAGCATGGGCAGTGGCTCAGGGTGTCCAGCACTGGGGTGGGTGCTCTGCATGAGCCCCTGTGTAAGAGCTGGCTCTCAGGGAGAGGATCTGACTTGTGATCATCCCCTCTTCCCAAAACAGAGCGGAAACGACTGGGCATTGGTCAGTCCCAGGAGATGAACACACTTTTCCGGTTCTGGTCCTTCTTCCTCCGAGATCACTTCAACAAGAAAATGTATGAGGAGTTCAAGCAACTGGCTGTGGAGGACGGGAAGGAGGGATACAGGTAGGAGAAGAAGGACAGAGTGGTCTTTCCTGGGAGGGGAGTGAGGGAAGAAGGGTTCAGCCTTTTTGAGGCTCTCAGCAAAACAAAGGCAGCATCTCTGCCTTGCTCCAAGGTAGGACTGGGGTTGCTCTGAGTCCCCTCCTGCTGCTGATACACAGCAGGGTCCTGCCTCAGGAGCCTCTCTGCTCAGATGTTGCGTGCAGTGTCTGAGCACCACGTGCTGCTCTCTTCCAGGTACGGTCTGGAGTGCCTTTTCAGATACTACAGCTACGGGCTGGAGAAGAAATTCCGGCCAGACATCTTTAAGGACTTTCAAGAAGAGACCATCAAGGATTACGAAGCTGGTAGGTGCCTCCTACCCCTTCCCCTGTGGTTGACAGCAATATAGTCCAGCTGCATGGCTGCTTCTGGGCCTCTTCCCATGACTTTGGGGAAGCCACATAATGCTGTATACTAACATGTGACAGGGATCAGCTGAACGTCCCTGTACCAGGTTACTTCATGGTACAGTGTTGAGTGGATGCTCATCATCCTTGAAGAGTGTTGGGGGGGATGGAAGAGAGCAATGGGAGGCTGTAGCTCTCCCAGAATGTTTCTCTAGACACCAGTTCCTCTAGGATTTCTCAATGCCTTGTGGTGGGTGAGCTGTCTCACCACCAGGTCAGCCAAGCCTGGGGACATCCCCTGTCCAGAGGGCTGCTCGTTACTGTTGTAGTTTGCTTCCCTCCATGTTCTCTGTCTTGCCTCGGTTGTGTCCACCAGTGGGACAGGAGGATCTGTGGGGAAGCGTGGAGGAAAGGTGGGTTTTTGTCCTGCTGATGTCTGGTTTGGTTTTCTTCCCCTCCAGGACAGCTCTATGGGCTGGAAAAGTTCTGGGCCTTCTTAAAGTATTCCAAAGCCAAAAATCTGGACATTAACAGCAAACTGCAAGAATACCTCAGCAAGTTCAAGCGCCTCGAGGACTTCCGAGTGGATGTGAGTAGACACAATGCCTGCACCACACCGATGGCCCCTGCAAAAGCTCCTTGGCCCCCTCAAACGCTGGAGGATTTTGGGGAAGTCAGTGACACCTAGTGTCATGTCCGATCATTGCAGCCAGGAGCAAGCTGCAGGGTTGGAAAATTGCAAATCCACTTCAGAACAGCTCTCTGATGAACTGGGTGATAGAATGGTTTAGGTTGGAAGAGACCTTAAAGATCATCTAGTTCCAACTCCCCTGCTGTGGGCAGAGACACAGTGGATGAGCACATCTTTCCTTATGAGCTCAGGAGGGGGGAAAAAGAGCCTCTGTGGCTTGAGTGGAGCTGGCATTGCGTGGAGCTTTGGCTCCAAGACTTCTGGGCTGTGTCCCTGTGTGGGAAGCAAGTTGTCACCATTGTGTTTGATTGGAAATCAGTCTGTCTTTCTCTGGCAGCAGTAGATCTGGGGAGCAGAGCAGCTGTGGGCTTGGGGTGAGCATGTGTGTTCCTTGTGGGTCAGGGAGAGAAGCTGCAACTGCAGGTTTGCAGGAAGGCTGTTCTCTGATCCAGGGGGAATCTGTGCTGATACTGGGGTGCTTCTCTTCCAGCCACCCATGGGGGAGGAAGGTGGACACAAGAGATACCCGACGACATCAGGGGGAGATGGCAGGAAGCGCTACCCATCCCAGTCTTCCAGCAAAACGGTCAGCCAGTGCCC